TAATAAGCAGATAGAATTTAATAAGTATCATGTTTCATCCAAGATATAAAATATCAAAAATTCATCTGGCTTTTCATTTAAAGCTTAACAGCTAACAAATAGTTAAAATCTGAAGATACTATTACACTGCATTTATAGCTCTTAAAATATTTAATACATGCATGTTATCTTGTCAGAAACTATAATTTTCTATAATAAAATTAGCATCAAATTATCGTTGATAAGTTGTATTTATTAATAAATAGATTATTCAACACTTTTGTGAACTTCAAGTATCAAAATGTGGTGTAATGAAATGAATGCATTATTATTAATACTAGCTACTTAATTTGCTTCCTTAATCTTAACCATTATCAGAATATTGATAAACTGATTAGTTAACTATAATTCAAATATTGATCGCTGCATCACACCCCATGAGATAAATCCAATTTTGTTGTTACAATTGAGATAGATATTCAATTTTACCTTTGTCAAATAGATAATTAATAAGTACTTTTTATAAACACTGCTATGATAAGGAAATAGATAATACAACAATTATATTTATTATATCTTGATAACATAATGATCCAAGTAAGCGACATAATAGAAATACTGTATGTAATTATTATAAACACTAAACTGCAATTTTCTCTGTATTTGATTTCGTAACTGCAGCTTTAAACGGAAAACTTATGAATAATTCAAAAAGACTGTAGATTCGTGGGATAATAATTTGTATAATTTAATACTTATTCAGCATTTTTATGTATTTGACAATATAAGGTAAAATATATCAAAATATTTAGTTTGTGATGTGTTAATGTGCATAACATTCACTAAAAAGTTTTTGTTTCCTGTAAGATGTAATTAGTAGTTCCTGTAAAGCTAGGCATAAAAAAAAAAATACTTATGTGTTATTTTTACAACTAACTTTCTTTAATTTTATCAAAATAAAGTGATAACTTGAGAAAAATCATCTTTCTAATAACCAGACAGGATGAACAAAGAATTGCAAAATCAATTTAGCTTTGGTTTACATTTAACAAAATATTAATTATTACATTAATAATGAAAATTGCATGTTTTTTTTTGCAACAGTTTACTAAATTTCTGTATAATTACTACTCAAGTAGAACTATAATAATTTTATTGACAGAAATATGAAATTCTTTGTAGATTCAACTTTAATCCCATTACATTAGAAACAAAAGTAAAAATTACACAAAATCTTTTGACGCAGAACGGACTTTGAAATTACAAGGTTTTTCTTCTTTAAACTATACTCCACCACAATAAATTAAACATAGCTATTATTTTATTACTCAATACATTATTAGAATTATTTTCCAACATTCATGGCAATCTCCTAATATACACTGATAATTAATTCTACTGCATTATTGCACTATTACAAATGCATATTTAAGGGAAACAAAAGTCTTAATGCTAATTATGTATTACTTAAAGCAGTAAACATGGCAATTAAAAATAAAATATTCCTGTTTCTCATTGTCACTCATTATCTTAACAGGTAGTTGGCCTCAGATCCTGTTACAGCCTCCTATCATCATCATCAAGAGTGTGCCTCTATCCCTTTGATTTAAGGGATAAAGGCATATCTTAACAAATGCTTAGTTTTAATTAGTTATTGGTATTAATTCTCATTAAAAAATAATTTGGAATGCACTCAAGTTTAAAAATCAATTAAAATTCAAAACTTTAACCTTATAAATTCTTCTGCACACTCTGTAATATCCTTTTACATTTTGATACGAACTTCATATTATTTAAGATAAATAATAAATAGCTACTAAATTATAAGCATTATTTACAGAAAATTACTTTTAACATTTAAAATTAAAATATAAAATCGTCAGTATGCTGATGACATAAGCCCAGGATGCATAAGTATACACGTGAGGTGGTATACCATGACGATATTAATACAGGAGTGTATAACTTAAAGCATTGCCTCAGATTACAACATTAAATCCCATATGGCTACATTTAGCTATAAAAAATTGTGTATATGCAAATCCAACTATACAAATACCATATTAAACTTTAAAACATTACAAGAATTTTAATTTAAATAATCCTAAATTCATATTAAATATTTAAATGGCCTATTGATACAAAAATATTTGTCAAAATTAGATGGAGGGCCACATGCAGTCTACGAACTATGTCATGCAACCGATATAAGCCAACATGTGTTGAAATTAACTTTCAAACAGCTGTATCTCAACATTTAAACTGACACAAACATGATGTAACAATTTTTACTAAAATTTACCTTTGAACTGTACATTTTATAATTTAACTACAATTTTTTTTTAAAATAATAATCATTAAAAGCATATTTCAATAAAGAAATTACAAAGCTACTTCATATAAAATTTCCACTGCATCAAATTTCATAACAGTATGTCCGATATTATTGATGATGAAACAGGTTTTAAATACAAAAAATATGTTAAATGATAATAAAAGCAGCAATGCAGGATAAAGTCAGAAATTTATTTCCTTGCAGACATTTTCAGATATATATCTCAGCATTGACTGCTTTTTCATTACAATTAAAAATGTCAAAGAACCAAAGATCCACTGATTCGGTTAAAATAATTTTCAATCATCTCTAAATTTTAGGTCAACAGGTTTTAATCTTTCTTAATTAATTCAAATGACCCAGTAATATTGGAAGATATCTGTAATTATACATTCACATATATAGAAATAAAGGACATAGTAATGTGTTAAATGTATGAGAGAATCTTCAGGAAAGTGCAATTAAGAATGTGACAAATTATATTTATAAAATTATTTCATGACTAGAGCATTTCATACTTTCAAAAGAACATCCTGAATAAAATGCTTAAGATATGAGTCTTCAGATATTAAACTTTATCTTCAGGATATTCCTTTCAAAAGTTCAAAATCCATTATATATTATAGAAAAAGCATATGGAGAATGTACTAAAGTATTTAAAACATTTCTTAACACATTTATATATTTATAAAATTAATATTTTATTAAATAAACCACTCAAAATGTAATGATCATTCAAGAAAATATAGAAATAGTTATTGCAAAAGCATAGAATTGTAAATCATTTATCAGCACTCTCAAGTAAACACCACCTCTAGATACAATATAAAAAAGTTCTCATGTTATAGAAAATTCAAATTAAACAGCCTGCCAAATTCTCAGGCTGTTATATGGCCGAGTTAATGATTAAAAACTAATTAATCTGTCTAGAGGTAGGCAGTTATGCTGCCATCTCACATTAATTTTAATAATTAGCCTGATAACTTGGCATATCGTTTGGTTTGAACTAACTATAAATCGGCTTTAGAGAGGTTGACATAGATCACGTTCTAAAATTAATAATTATTGTTTAAGAACAGAAAAAGGCAAAAACTATTTTTATTTAAAAATTAGTGATATAACTCAACAAACATAATTTAAAAATAAATTTCTCTTAAAAACAGTAAATCATTCAAGAATGGCATATTTTCAATAGTCCAAGAATTTTCGTAACATATTGATTCACTCAAGCATGGATGAATCAATATCTTGAAGTCACTAGTTTATATGCAGAGCATATATGACCTCATTCTACAATCAGTTTAAATAACGAATTCAATAAAATTAAAAAAAAAATAAACCACAAACACTGCTAAACCTTCCTCAAATTTCTACATTTTATAATTTTATAACTAAAGCAAGAATAGAAAAAAAGAAATATATATATATATAACTTCACAATACAAATTGATGACATATAATCAATCAAACAGAAAATTGTAGACAATTTCAATTCTAAAAAGTTTTGAAATTATTATATTTTAATATATTAACAAAAGAAAAAGTTGTATAAAAGATATTAATCAAATCAGGATATGATTCATCACTTCCCAATATTTAATAAGAATTTATAAATTAAATAGCTAAATACATAATAAAAATTATAATAGTAAACAGTAAAATAAACTTTGTAGAGTTAATCAGAGTTAAATGCAAAACTTACAGCTAGAGACATTAAATTTCAACAGTAAAAACCAACATTTATTTTGTTATTACATACTTAAATTATAATCAGCTTTATATAAGCATATAAAAATAAATTTTGTACGAGGTTATTTTACTGCCACATGCTCAAAATTATTATTACATTGCAATAAACTTACCGGAAATCACAATTACGATTTAGATTGGCTGTGCCCAAACTATGATCTCCGGGTCAAAACCAGTCGCCAAATATATCGGACGTATCGCTTATAAACGAGAAAAATGGGCCTACATTTTGCCAAACCACAGTATTATCAAGCTATAATAAGACTAATTTAACAATTAGATATGAGGTAATTTGATTAGAGGCGAGCGGTTAAAGACAGAATTTGTATGATCTTTTCATGCAGATGGAATATATAAAATCTAGTACAGTTACACTTCCAAACGAGACAATCGGGACCTTACTGGAGTCATACTGCACGGAACCAACTCGCCTAAAACCTTTGCAGTCCGCTCGCCCAAGTTACATGCAATTCATCCCGATGACCAAAAGTACAAGCACCGCAGATTTATATCATTTACTTCATAAGATATTTATGATATAAATATTTTACAAAGCAAATTGACATAAAAAATAGCAAATATTCCTTCAACAAGTATCAAGATCCACATTAGTTATTATAGTGAAGGCTTATTCACAAAAATTGTGGCACACTATTCAGGCGCAATCACAAGAAGTAAAGTTTTCTATTGCCGTCAGTTTTCGAAGATGCATTTCGGGCCATGCTCCTAGTCGGTTCGATCCAGATGCCCTCTTCCTTTGATCAAATCGACGAGGGCCACAGCCCAAACATGTAACAGTAAAATAAGCTTATTTTACTCTTACATAATTAAAACTTAACGTTTCTAGCTTTAAATATAATTAACTCTAGTAAATATCACCGACACATGTAACATAAGTAAATATATAAATATATATACATAAAAATTAATTACATACAATCTTTTTCCACCATGTTAAAGAAGGAAGAGGAGTGTTTATGTTGGTGTAATTCTCGATTGAAATATTCTATTAAGAAACTAGTGGAAAATATGTAAGAGCAGGATGTGACGCTTGAATGTTTGTCGAATTATTGTTATATTAAACCAATCGCTCGTAACTTTTAATCAAAATCATTAGTCATTGCTGAATGAATAATTCTGACGTTATTTTTACGTAAATTGCTCCGTTTCGTCACCAAACACGACAATTTTTACTCATAATCAAACGTGACACTTGTCACAGTGGGCGTTGCTCGATAACTTCTTTCTCGTTATTTTTTCCTTTTTCTCCGTTAATTTATAAATATTTCCATTGATTTAGTTGCCGTAACGTTAACTAAACTTATATAATCCCGGTTTTCTACATTTTTCGTACGGATACGTTCTTTATTTCGTGTTTTAAACGTTATTGCTATAAGTGACTTACCCAGTCTATCCACCATCTTGAAAAACTAGTTTGAATTGTACTCTGGTCACGTGATTAGAATTTTGATCGTCTGGTTTTTAAAAATTCAAATTATTTCTTCTTTTAATAATTTTTTAATATGACTTAAGTNGGAGACCGATATATCCGGTCGGACCTTCCCCGAAAAATTCCTGGGGATTTTTCGACCCGTCCGGATCCCCAGAGAGATCGTTTGCCATCTTGACCGCTCGGCCATCCGGCCGTCATTCTTTTCGCTTCTTGAGCACTAAGAGGGCCTTTTTAGCAAGCCTATTATGGGTTCGCCAAGTCCACAATAGGATTATCGGATGATGGTAGACGGACCCCGACACATCTGGATGGATTCCCACCGAAAAATTCTTCAGGTTTTTCGACCCGTCCGGATTCATCTAAACGGATCCCGCCGAAAGATCCTCGGCGTATTTCGACTCGTCTGGATTTGATTTCGGGTCTCCCGGACGCTAGGCTGCAACTTTAACAGCTCGGTCATCTTGCCTTTCGTCTCTGTTACGTAAAAACATTATTTTAATATGAATTTTAAGTAAATATAAAAAATGAATTAATATGAACTTATCAAAAAGTAAAAATAGTAATCAGTAATTTAGAAATTTTCGAAGTTATTATCATTAATTATTATTTTTTTTTAAATTATTCGCTTGAATTTAAAATCTTAGCAGCGCCTCTACCATCAGGACTAAATATGGTAGATTAGCTTGTTCACTAATGTGAATAAAGAATATTTTAATTATTTTGTTATCAAAACAATTAAAATACTGTTTACTATTATTATTTATTTAATAGTACCGATGCATAAGTCTTTAAAATTAGACTAGGGCTGCTTGTAAATAGTAAGCAAACCAAGAGCATAACTCATTTCGTCTGTTACGTACTGTACAGTATTAAACTGCCTATTTGATAACTCAACTGCTTATAATTTAGAAAAATTCTGCATTACAGTTTTCTTGCATTTTGCAAATATCACGCTATTTTTTATATGATTGATCAATCGTAAAAACATGAGAATAATCGTACTGTACGGTTGGATAGCAGAGGCGATAAACTCAACAGTTGTCTCTCTGGCAAACCCGGATTCGAATCTAGGTTTATTCCAAAACTTTTAAAGGTTGGCTGATTCGGAAATGCCAGGTCTCATTTCTCATTCTATGTCATTCTGCTGTAAACCTTGATAATCATGGATTATATTATGTCCATAATGATCACACATGATGAGCATTAAAAAAAGGCCCTTAGTACATACGATCGTAGCAACAAGATCAACATAAAATCAAACTTATTTATTCATTTAGTTTTTTAACATAAAATATAACAATAAACTAACTGTTGCAAACCTGTAAAAATTAATTATTTTAATACATTTTCCATAAAATTACACGATTCGTCAACGTAAAGAACGTTAGAGTTTTTTTTTATCAGAGTTTTCCTCACTACGGGTTAGTATTTCTAAGTCATAAAACGTTATATAACACAAAGTACTTCTTCATAAGTATATGTATAAAATAGAATGCCTAATTGTTCCCTACAAAATACCAAACCCTTTGAGTGATCTTCCAGTAGCGTACCGTGGGTGTCAGCCGCCCGGGGCGGAGGAAAATTTCGGCCCCCCCTTATTTAGTTATTTCAATTTAAAATACCAAAATTCAGTTTTGTCACAGAACAAGCAATAAAAAATTCGGTGGTAGTGCAGCGACCTGTTTAAAATAGGACCTGTTCTATTGGATATTAGTGGTGTATATGAACGCGAATGAATCGTACAAGCAAAAATAAAAAAAGGGTCAATAGGTTTCGCAGGATTTCTTCGGATAAAAAAAATTACTTGTTCACCCGGACGGCGAGCCGATTCCCGGACTGTCCGGACGATAGCATAGTTTAGGATGTTTCAAATTTTTTACAAGATGTTATTATTATTTATTGTGAAATTTTGCCGCCCCCTAAAAAGTGCCGCCCGGGGCGGGCCGCCCCTGCCGCCCCCACTACGGTACGCCACTGTAATCTTCATCAAGTTTTTTTACGGTTATTATCTAAGACCACGTGGAAAATATTTGCAACCATGAAACACGATCATCCTCTCATTTCATCTTTTTGACACTTTGTGGTAATTTAAATTGAATGTATTATTATATAGCCTAATTAAGCCGAGCGATCAAGGCGGCATCCTACCGCTCTGAGGAAACCGGGCTCGAATCCGAATCGGTCGAAAACTCCCCAGGAATTTTTCGGGGGGTGGTCCGTTCGGATATGTCGGGCCCCGTCCCTCACCACCCGGCAGGCCCATTGTGAGTCCGGCCGAACCCATAATGGGCTTGCAAAAAGAGGCTTTCTTAGTGCCCACAGGGCGGAAAGAGTCGAAAAAACAAAAAAGCCTAATTAAGCATCGAGTAATAATTAATGAAGGCAACACACGATTCGTGATTCATATTCTTAGTGATAGAGTCCATGATTTGGAAGCTCCTCCGAAATAATGCTAAGAACTTGAGTCGGCCTAAAATAATCAAACTTTTGATATGATTTTAATTACAGTCGATCCCCCTATAAGACGGTAGATACGTTCCGTTCTTTATGACTTAATTTTGTAGGAATCACAGCCAATCACAGCCCGACACGTGTGAAGTTTACGGACTACGGCTGTTTGAAAGGTTTTCTTCCATAAAATTAATCGATTCTAGACTAATCCGACTCAACATTTCCAAAATACGTATATTTTTTTGAAAATAATCCGTATAAACTACGTTATAAACAAAAAATTGTAGGATTGCTTACCGAGTGTGTACCGTTCGACTACGCCCGTTGCTAAAGCTTGGTTTCGTCGCGGAACAGCGCATCAAACCGCGGCCGCGATTTCTGATATTATTTTTCTGCGAAAACTTCGTTGACCTTTGGAGACATCATTAATATAAATAATTTTTATGGCCGTTGAATAAGAAATGTTTCTTTCACAAGAAATGTATAAAATTAGTGCTGTATTAGACTTACGGTACCTAATTTACATACTCTACAGACGATAGCTCGCCTAAACTGTCCGTAGTGTAGCGCTAGACGGCGGAAAGTATATATATAATTATAATAAAGTTACAATAAATTAAGTTAATATATAATTATATATACAGTACCTAATTTATATATAATTTATGTATAATTTATATATAATTATATATACAGACGATACTAAACTCAATTTACCCGCCTAAACTGTCCGTAGCGTGGCGCTGGACGGCGGAAAGTAGTTCGGCTGCCCGATGACGTTTTACGTAATTATAGGAGTTTTTTTACCGTTGTTTACGGATACCGCCACAATTTTTTCGCCGTCTTATAGGAATCGTAATTATAGGAACCCGTCTTATAGGGGGATCTACTGTATAATGTTTGCCCTTATTATTTATACTTTTTGCCTGGACAATGTTGGGTACATTTGCTAGTAATCTTTATTTTAAAAAAATAAGAAAATATATTCAATAATATTAATAATACACTTATTAAAATATACGAAATATTCTTTTTATATTTATTTATTGTAAATGTTTGAAATGTTTTAGTCGTGAGGTAAACAATTTACCTGCTTGATCAATAAATTCAAATTCAAATGTTATATTTCTCTCTATATTTTTAAATTTATTTTTCAACTCTTTTTACTCGTTTGTTTTCTTTAACTCTTTCTGCCCTGTGGGCACTAAGTGGACCTCATTTAGCAAGCCCATTATGGGTTCGGCCAGGCCAACAATGGGGTGGCCGGGTGGGCCGGGTGGTGTGGGACGGAGACCGATATATCCGGTCGGACCTTCCCCGAAAAATTCCTGGGGATTTTTCGACCCGTCCGGATCCCCAGAGAGATCGTTTGCCATCTTGACCGCTCGGCCATCCGGCCGTCATTCTTTTCGCTTCTTGAGCACTAAGAGGACCTTTTTAGCAAGCCTATTATGGGTTCGCCAAGTCCACAATAGGATTATCGGATGATGGTAGACGGACCCCGACACATCTGGATGGATTCCCACCGAAAAATTCTTCAGGTTTTTCGACCCGTCCGGATTCATCTAAACGGATCCCGCCGAAAGATCCTCGGCGTATTTCGACTCGTCTGGATTTGATTTCGGGTCTCCCGGACGCTAGGCTGCAACTTTAACAGCTCGGTCATCTTGCCTTTCGTCTCTGTTACGTAAAAACATTATTTTAATATGAATTTTAAGTAAATATAAAAAATGAATTAATATGAACTTATCAAAAAGTAAAAATAGTAATCAGTAATTTAGAAATTTTCGAAGTTATTATCATTAATTATTATTTTTTTTTAAATTATTCGCTTGAATTTAAAATCTTAGCAGCGCCTCTACTGTGTATTTTTCAAACATCATTTAAGTTCTTCCTAACCACGTGGTTTCGCATATTTTACTGTTATGAGTGGTATTTGAATCTAATAACTTTATAAAGATTATTTAAAATCATGACATCTCTTGCAGAAGAAATAGCTGCACTTATAAATCCAGCACCGACATTAATAGAACCGGAAGATAATGTAGATTTTGGTTTGTAAACATTATTTTCTCTCGTATTATGCATTTTTATAAATTAATATAAGGAAATAAGGAACAAATCTTTAGATTTTAAAATATTTGTTAATATTTTGTAGATACTAAAGCTACTGTTGTTGAAAAATATGAAGAAGACGATATACCAGTTCATCAAAGTCAATTAAGAAAGAAAACTGCTCAAATAAATTTAGGCTCAAAATATGCCGGCAAAAAGATATCTAGAAAGAAGCTACAGGAGGAATATTCTGAATTAGGTAGATTTTAACAGTAAATTTATAACAGCTCACTATACACGCAAGTCCTGACGATGGACTTGTGAGCTCCAGCAAAGTAAATTTATGTTATATTTTAAAGGAGTTTATAATGAAAAATAATTATAAACTCCTTTAAAATATAACATAAATCTACTTTATTGGAGCTCCTTTAAATTTTAAAATGTTTATGTTGTTTATGAGTTTTAACTGTGGTGTTATGGTGGCTAGTCTGTGCTCAGATAAGCTGTGTGCAATGATTTATCTGTTTTCATCCATGTGTAACATTGCAATTGTAGGAAAAGAGATGGAAATGGTTGAGTATATTCTCTGGATGAATCCCAGATATTTATTACTCCACATCTACTAATTACATATAATATACAAATATACTGTACTAGGTCACAAGGGGGAGATATGACCCAGCTTATGCCAGCATGTCAATGTAAGAGAAAGAGAGAGACTCCATTTGACATCACTTGAGTTGTGGTCAACATTGTGTTGCCATTAACTGAATGATACAAAGTTATATGGTAATATAACTTTGTATCATTCAGTTAATCATATGTGCTCAGCCTGCAGCTGATAGCTCATCTGCTAATATTTGCTTGCAACATAAATCATAATGTGCCTTTAGTTAGCATAAAGGCACATTATGCTTATTTTTAACTGTATTCTACATTGCAAGCTACATTATTTAATATTCATTACATAAAATATACATATTCACGATGGCTTTGCAGTTATCACTACTATACTTCTGCTGCTCTAATTGAGCAGGAGTATAGTAGTGATAACTACAATGTAACGAGAAAGCCATTGTTTTCCCATTTCATTGCAGAAGTAGATACAAACCGTCAGTTCATCAGGAGTTGAAAATATCTCAACGTTTGCCAAACTTCAGTTCATTCAACCAATTTGTTTATACAGTAGAGCCTCGAAAACTCGGCACTCGATAACCTGGCACTCCGGATAACTCGGCCACACCCTGGCAGGGCAAAAATATCCTTAGTTAATTAATTTTCATGATAAAGACAGCTTTATGCCTCATAAAGTATTTTTCTGAGGTCTGTCTTATCAGGTAAATTACTGTACACAGTGTATTCATTAATTTTCATTTTCATGTAGTAAAGGCTCTATGCCTTCATGAAGGATGTACTTTTCCTTTGTTTAAGGGTATTTGGGCAGTGTATTCTCTGTTGTATTCTCAAGCAAACAATACATACAAGTACAGTACAATATTTTCTGAGGAAACACGCATCCTTATCCTTTTTTAACCCCATTCCTGATAACCCGGTATTTTCACAAACTCGGCCACCCTTCGGTCCACATTAGGCCGAGTTTTCGAGGCTCTACTGTATAATCATCATTGCAGTGAAAGTTATAATANTTCTTCCACAATTTTCTAAATTATTTAATAAATATTAATTTAATTAAAATTATTAAATTTAATAAGAGCTGGCACCTAACACTTACCTCTAGGCCAAATTACTTAGTATTTAATTATTAATAGTAGTAATAGTATAGCCTAATTTAATCTGGCAGTCATTTGGCTTTAATGTAACTATTGGGTTTACAGATGTTTATATAGGCCCATTATGTGTTTGACCAGGCCTAGAATGGGATGGTGGATGATGAGGAAGAGGACCTGACATATCTGGATGGTTTATCCCCTCCAAAAATTTTCTGGGGTATTTTGATTCATCTGGATTTGAACCTGGTCTACCAAAGTGGTAGGCTGCCTCTTAACCTTTGTAGAGAGGGTTAGTCAGATATGGCTCTATCACGATGTAGTGGAGAATAAACATAGGAAATTTTTTAAGAATTTTCCCTCGCATTTTTCTCGTTTTCATTTCGGAAAAATATTTTTTAAACAGTTATGTCTAGTAAAGAAAAATCTTTTTTTATTGTCACATAATTCATTTTTTATGTGAATTTTTTTTTCCAGTAATTATTGGCTAGTTTTTGGTGATATCCGCAAAATTTTTTTGCAGATATAGACGTCGTTCTCCAGTGCAACATGATCACCCTTAACAGGTATATCCATCAATCACTGCAGAGTGGTTAACAGCTTGGCAATCTGGCATCAATTAGCAGGTCCCATCAATATTATCTGATAAATTTTGATAGTATTAAAACTATCAAAATTTTTATCTATTTGTTAAACAGAATATTAAGATAGAAAAAAACAATTATTACTCCAAAAAGTCCATAAAATTCAGTGTAAAGAAAGTTTATTAATGGAACTAACATTTTCAACTTCATATGAAGTTTTTATGGTCTGTCTATGGTCATTTTCTAAGTTTCTGAATATGGCCATTAAATGTGGTCAAAAATATAGATTTCATTAATAAACATTTCTCTTTAATGGATTTTATGAGTTTTTGGAGTTAATATATGTAATTATATTCAGGTTTTAGACACTTTTTCATTTAGACAAACAACTGTTTTGTCACAGTAATGCCACTTTAAACAGAATTATATTGTATATAAAAAAATGAAATGAGTAGAGTTTACAAAATTGAAGAATATTACTGATTCAAAAATCTAACAGCAGAGAAGTTCAAGGTAATAAGAAACCAGTGTGAGGATATTTATTATTATTATTTAAAATACATACCAATACAATATTACTATTTGGTTAACAATAATGTAGATATATTTCTAAACTGATTACATAAAGTTTAAAGTAATCTATAAGAAATATCAATTGATTAAAATAATGATAAGTAAAATTTCCTCAATTTCATAAAAATAGCACACATGTTTGAGGAAAATAATTTAAAATTGAGGAATATAAACATTTTGACCAATCATGTTTCTAGCTTAGTTTGTGTCATGTGGTACAATGCAAACAACAATTAGTGTTTGTTTTGTTTGTTTGTAGCAATTCATATGTCAATGTGAGTCTAGCTTAATTTCTTACCAGGCAACTATGTTTAGTAGTAACCACCCTTCACTTACCTTTAACATGCAGTCTATTTTATTAACTTAATCTAACATTTTTGATCAAATTAATTGACCTTCATCAAGATCGAACAATTTTTGATTTATGATGAACGATTTATTTGATTGAAAATGTTAGATTATGTTAATAAAATAGACTGCATGTTAAAGGTTAGTGAAGGGTGGTTATTTTTAGGGACGTGCTGTTTGAGAAGAGTATGTTTAGTAGTAATTCTCTTTGTGCTTCCTATCCAATTTGACTAGAAGCAAAGATTATATCTATTGAATCTTAAAATTAAACTTTAAATAATCTACAGTTTTTCATTGATTATTAAGAATTATATTATTTTATGGCATAATTAAATTATTAATAAATTTGAGATGGGAAGCAAGTTAGTCTGCATTTAGAATGATCATATTTCAAGAAATAAGGAATTATTTAAAAATAAACAACACATTTGACTAGTGTAAAGTTTTGTTAAGTGAATAATTTATTTTTTCTTATTTTTTATTCTACTTCATTCTGTGATGCAAAATACAGTACATTAGCTTTAGAATGGTATAACATAAACAAAAAATATTTGCCTTTAAGTATTTATGTGACTTCTAGACTTCTATATGAAGTTGATATAAAGTATTTTAAGCTTGAGTTTATAAGCAAGGAATTGTAAATTTATATCATTAACTTTAAAAAAAATTATTATTTTTCGATAAGTGATTGAAAATTTTTGATTATATAGAAAGTAAATTATAAATGCTTGAACAGTTTATAATTAAAATACTTATTCCAGAATCAATTAGTGATGTGGATGAGGAGGAAGAGGTTGATGATGATGATGATGATGATGATGACAATGATGATGATGAATATGAAACTGAAGACCTTCTACAAGATAAAAGAATTTCTTCAAAAAAACAATTTTTAAGGTACAGTAACACCCCGAATTTATGCAATAGGTGGGACTGAGCGGTAACCGCGTAAGTCGGGGTATAATTTCGCATATAAATACATACAAATAATTTTTAATTGGGGCCGGAGACTAAAGAAAACAATAATTTAGAAAAAATGTTTAATAAAATCTTAGATATACATATGTATAACAAATTAGGCCTATATTATTATACAATTTTTCATGTTTACTTGATTATTACGCCACAATTTTAACATTGTTTCCATCTTAGCGATAATACAGTGATGTTTATGAATGATGCTTGAATTTAAAGATTGAGCATTTTTCACAGCTTTGAGAATGTTTTCTTTGCCTTTTATAATTGTTCTGACCGACAATTCCAGTAGATCAAACTTCTTTGCCAATTCACAAATTTTCATTTTTGTATCGAAGTCTTCAATATCGAAGTCAAACAAGTTAAACGCATTAGTAACGAAGCATTCGAAAAGTGTAACAAAATAGGAGTAACGATGATGTCATTCTCGTTTAACTCGTTCGACTTTACAAACATACCCAATGTTAACTATACATTCCAAAGATAAAGTTTTTCTTTTCTTGTTTGATGCAGAAGAATTAGTTCTACTTTGTTTGGATGACGTAGTAGAGTCTCTCAAGTCTCCGTAGATACAACAAACACAGAAATAAATAACACAAAATAAATTGTAGCTATGTGTGGATTCCTCGTGACACATTCGAACATGTAAGCTGAACAATAGTGTGGGTGGAGTGAGTAATCAAGGGTTGCATGGCGCTCAAACAAAAGACAAATTGACGAGATTTGAAAATCGCATAACTCCAGGTTTACGTAAGTCGGAGTATTACTGTATCAATTTCTTATTTAATATCTTCATTAACAGAATAATTTTTAGTCTATAATTCCTTTTAATTATTTAACACAATTTATAGAAATTAATATAGTAGAGTCCCGAAAACTTGGCACTCAATAACCTGGCAGTCCTGATAACTCGACCATACCCTGGCAGGGCAAAAAAATCCCTAGTTAATTTTCATTATAGACAGCTTTATGCCTCATAAAGTATTTTTCTGAGGTCTGTCTTATCAGGTAAATTACTGTACACTGTATATTCATTAATTTTCATTTTCATGTAGTAAAGGCTCTATGCCTTCATAAAGTATGTACTTTTCCTTTGTTTAAGGGTATTTGGGCAGTGTATTCTCTGTTGTGTTCTCAAGCAAACAATACATACAAGTACAGTACAGTATTTTCTGAGGAAACGCTTGTACTTATTCTTTTTTAACTCCATTCCCGATAACCCGGCATTTTCACAAACTCAGCCACTCTTTGGTTCACATTAGAGTGGCTGTTTTTCTAGCAAGTCCATTATGGGTTTCCTAAAAAAAAGGATGTGAGCAACTAATATGGTTATATCTAAATTAAATATGTTTAGAAGTGAAGGATCTGATGGAGGTCCAGGTGAAATTGCAATATATTCACACAATAAGTGACAGTTGCGGGTTCGAGTCTCACTCTGGGCTGATTCTTTTCTTCCAGAATTTTCTAAATTATTTAATAAATATTAATTTGATTATAATTATTAAATTTAATAAGAGATCCTAACACTTACCTCTAGGCCAAATTACTTAGTATTTAATTATTAATAGTAGTAATAGTATAGCCTAATTTAATCTGGCAGTCATTTGGCTTTAATGTAACTATTGGGTTTACAGATGTTTATATAGGCCCATTATGTGTTTGACCAGGCCTAGAATGGGATGGTGGATGATGAGGAAGAGGACCTGACATATCTGGATGGTTTATCCCCTCCAAAAATTTTCTGGGGTATTTTGATTCATCTGGATTTGAACCTGGTCTACCAAAGTGGTAGGCTGCCTCTTAACCTTTGTAGAGAGGGTTAGTCAGATATGGCTCTATCACGATGTAGTGGAGAATAAACATAGGAAATTTTTTAAGAATTTTCCCTCGCATTTTTCTCGTTTTCATTTCGGAAAAATATTTTTTAAACAGTTATGTCTAGTAAAGAAAAATCTTTTTTTATTGTCACATAATTCATTTTTTATGTGAATTTTTTTTTCCAGTAATTATTGGCTAGTTTTTGGTGATATCCGCAAAATTTTTTTGCAGATATAGACGTCGTTCTCCAGTGCAACATGATCACCCTTAACAGGTATATCCATCAATCACTGCAGAGTGGTTAACAGCTTGGCAATCTGGCATCAATTAGCAGGTCCCATCAATATTATCTGATAAATTTTGATAGTATTAAAACTATCAAAATTTTTATCTATTTGTTAAACAGAATATTAAGATAGAAAAAAACAATTATTACTCCAAAAAGTCCATAAAATTCAGTGTAAAGAAAGTTTATTAATGGAACTAACATTTTCAACTTCATATGAAGTTTTTATGGTCTGTCTATGGTCATTTTCTAAGTTTCTGAATATGGCCATTAAATGTGGTCAAAAATATAGATTTCATTAATAAACATTTCTCTTTAATGGATTTTATGAGTTTTTGGAGTTAATATATGTAATTATATTCAGGTTTTAGACACTTTTTCATTTAGACAAACAACTGTTTTGTCACAGTAATGCCACTTTAAACAGAATTATATTGTATATAAAAAAATGAAATGAGTAGAGTTCACAAAATTGAAGAATATTATTGATTCAAAAATCTAACAGCAGAGAAGTTCAAGGTAATAAGAAACCAGTGTGAGGATATTTATTATTATTACTATTTTTATTTTTTTATCTGTATGATAAGAAACATCTGAAGCATGATTAAGTACATTCATTTTATTTTTATTTGCCAAACTGGCAACAGAATTTGTCAAAATTCTGTTCTTTGTATGCAAGATTATGGATTTGGACATAGATATTTAGAGTTTACAGATTTTAATGAGTATTTTTATTCGTTGGATCAGGAGCAGTACATCTGTAATTTTTGCTAAATTTGTAATTAAACTAGAGTTGCCATAATTTAGTCTGAAACAAAAAAAATGTAAATCAAATAATTAAAATACATTGTAATTAAAATACTATTTCCTATAAATTTAGCTCTGATGATTCCCATCAAAGTTACAATTCTGCTTTCAGTGATAGAGAAAGATTATCTGAAGATCTTGAGAATATTGTGGATGAGGATATTGAAAGTGATCTGGATGAAGAGGAAGAAGATAAAAGTGAGGAATCTATTGATGAAGAGGAGGAGGAGGAAGAAGACGATGATGGAGATGATGATGGTTAGTAAATTTAAATTTTTATAATTTTTTTCAGATACAGTGGGTGATTGGCTAATGAACAATTCAGACTCCAAACAAATTGGGCCATGAACACTTTCATGAAAGATTTTTATGTTTGGGCAACAAACACATGTTCATATAACAAACACTTTTCAGAATAAACACAAGAAGAAGCAACATAAAATAATGAATACCAATTGATCTTCTCTTGTTTCCAGGTGACAATTTGAAACCTTTGGGGTGGGGAGATGTTGACATCGATGCTCAACCCGATACCAATCAGATAGTAGTCCTCTAAACTTTGAAACTCTCCCTTGTAATTCCAGCTTTTTGTTTATGTTTCTGACAGAAAGAATTTTTTTATAGCCTTTTTGAGACTGTCGGGCACTCATTAAGTTTTGCATTGGGTTTTATTTTCGAAAGATGAGCATTTAACTGTCTCATTGGATATTCATTAACATTTTAACACCAAATTTCATTTGGGCCTCACATTTACATAATTTTTTGTGCACTAGTTGATTTCTGTTCTCTGAATTTTTGTAAGTGCTTTTCTGAACTTTATATTTAAAAAAAAAACTGATAATATTATAGAGCCTAAAAAGAGTGGAGTGTCAAGAACTGTGCTCACCATAGACACCAAGCAAGAGATAATATACAAGGTAGAGAGTGGGCAGATGTGTGATGTTGATAAGCAGAATGGCTTGAACATATCTATAGTAGGCACAATCTTAGCTAAGAAAGATATAATCAAAAAGACTCAATCAGCTAAAGGAGTAATGAAAATCACATCTGAGAAACAAAGATGTGTCATCCATGAAAGAATGGAGGGATTGCTTTTAGTTTGGATAAAAGAAAGGGAAATGAAAAGAGATATAATTAGAATGTTTATTATTCATGAGAATACTATAGAAATTTTTGAAGTACATGCCAAACCATACTTACATCACTAAAGATGAGAAAAATATTTGATTTTCAGTTGATTTTTCACATGTAATTACTCTGCACATAATTGCTATTTCTCCAATTTGACAATTCTGAAAAATCCTGCAATATGTTTTTTATGAATGTGCTAAATTTCATGTAATATAGTGTTTAGTGTACAAGATAATGTTTTATTTACAGAACATTGTTCTTGATCAGGCTCTCTTAAGTAACCCTTGAAACTTTGTGATAGCATTGCTAATGTAAAACAAATTCATGGAAATAAATGATGGGAGGGTTGAGGTAAACACCTCAACCCTCCCATCATCTTAGAAGAATCAAAACATGATTTTTCTGTATTTTTCAGGTACAAAATTAAGCTGCAATTAAAATAATGCTTAAATTGTTGAAGGTCGTGGTGCTCCAGACTCTCTTATGGACACAAATGTTCAAGGTTGTAGCAAGTTGCAGATTACCATGTCATTATGTCATGTAAAGCTGACAGACATCCATAACATCATGACTACCTCTTGAAGCAGTTGTGTAAGATCTCCATAATGTCATTCTTAATGATATCAAAATGGAAAATCACTGTAGGCATGCAATTGTGTGACAATAAAGAAAAAACTGCATACAATTATAGGTGTGATGCAACAGTTTTTCATAGTGATTTTTTAAGGGCATGAGAAAAGCAGAAAAAATGTTTTCAACTGAAATTTTTACAGTTAGGTGAATAGCACATAACATGGGGATGTCATTGAAGCACAGTTAAGTAGGTCAGTTTGGTGAAAAATGCCCATGGAAAAAACTAGTTGTTACAGAAAATTGCCACTATTGTAAGTGATTGCAGATTAATAAAGCAGGAAATTATTATCAATATATATTTATATATTCATATATATATATTGTTGCTATGCATGTTCAAATAAGTTGTAGAAAATAACCAAATCATAAGGTCTACTTGAGCATGTATAGCTTCGTTAAATGCAAATTTTAAAAATTTTTTCTAAAAAAGAGCAATTTTCTAGAAAATAGAGTATTAATATTGTTTCTTAGAATTAAAATTAAATGAAGATTTAAAAAAAAAAAACATTTATTGAAATGTGTTAGATCAAAACCAATCATGTAAAAAGAGAATTGGGTGTGTATATAAATAGTTTAATATTATTTTTTATATTAACATAAATATTTAACCATAATTTGTATAAACAAATAAAATATATATAATTATTTAAAAACTTTTAGATATGGATATTGTGCAGAAGTTTTCTAAGATTGATGTTGGTGAAGAAATTGAAAAAGGAAAAGCTGTTNATGGAGAAGATGAAAAGAAAATATTTTTATGTTTTAATAATAGCATTTTTGTTTAAATTTACATACACACATGTATAATATATATGTTACTGTGAAAGACTGAAATTAGAGAATGTCAATATTCTCCGGTGAATGTCGACACATACAAAACACATCAGTGAAAGACCGAATATTTGGTTATATTATTATACATTCGAACAATCGCCGGTGTATGTCGGCAAACACAGATAACCTTTGGTGGAGGTCAAAACAACATCCGAGAAGCCGATGTCGACAGAGAGGCGGCAGTCTGACGCCAAATTCTTCTCCATTTCCTTCTGCTCAAATCGGTGATACCGTACGAATCAAAGAAATGTATGGCCATGGTCCATGATGTCAACCGTGGCCGTACAGATGCCCGAAATGCGTTGGCGGTTGTTGTTGGAATAGAAGACTCTGCCTTTTATAACTTAGCAAACAAAAAATGGTACCCTCAAGCAGCTTTATACCCGTAATCAGTTCGTAATTTGTAAAGAAAAGTTACTTTCCATAGATGAGATTTCTTCTCAAGAAATATTGCTGAGAGAAGCAGCTGCAGCTAATTCGAGAAGTGGAAGGCAAGGCTGTACACACTGTCATTGCAAAAAGAAGTGTTCCACGAATAAATGCAGTTGTAAAAGCAAGGGACAAGAGTCCCTTGCTTTTAACCATTGCAAAGAGAAGTGTTCCACGAATAAATGCAGTTGTAAAAGCAAGGGACTCTTGTGCAATTCAAAGTGCCATACAGTTTAAGTTGTTGCAATAAATAAGATTGTATAACGTTAATCACATAATTTATATGTAAGTTTATTATTGTATTATTTTCTTTTCTGATTAAGAATGTACTGTTCGTTTTAGGTTCAACAGTTTATTTACATGTGCTGTTACTTAAGCTTTCTCCTGTTTTGACATATTAAAAAGTTGCATTTTTGTCTTAACGTAATAAAAATATTTTTATTTAACATTCACCATCAGTGTATGCTGAATGCCAACATTTGCCAGTGTAAGTGAGAAATAATGATATTTAGCAAATATTCCATACATACACAAAACGACTGTATGAATGCTGACATTCGCCAGATATCAGTCATTCACAGTAACATATATATATATATAAAATATATGTTATTAAATGATCAGAAAGCAATTGTTATGGCTGATTTTATATTTCAACTTCAGTACAGAGTTACAAAAATGCTATTGATAAAATCTTAAGTTTATCTTGCTAACGCTCCAGTATTTGAAAAACTATAACATGGTTCTCAACCTTTCTGAGGTCATGGAACACTATTTGTATACTTTATATTATGTGGATCATTAGCATCAATATATTCAAAAATCTATAAGCAATTGTTTACTCTTCTCATGAAACAATAAAGCAATCAGCTAATAAACATTATTGTATGGAATAAAATAGCAAATTTGGAATTGTCTATGAATAAAGTAATATGTTATAATTTGGAATAAATTTGCAATAAAAACTTTTAAAAAAATTTTTTGTGGAACACTTAGACAAGTTTGTGGAACATCTACATTCCATGAAACATGAATTGTAAACCACTACATAACATTTAATATTATGTTCTTTATACATTCTTTACCTTAGTTTACACTGCAGTTCCATTCCTGCAAAAGCTGGCGCAAATCGAATCGGCATAAAACTTACATTTTTCAGAAAAAAGTATAGTATCCATCTTTAATTGTTTACACTTTTGTTTTCTTTCATCGGAAATTTTGGAATATGGTCAAATGGATGGGATGATGCTCCTTTTTACATTTACACTTCGCTCCCAATCATTGTCTAACTCACAAAGTTCATCCGTCAAACTTTCCATAGTTGAAAGGATAAGTTAACCTGACATAGAGCTACAGACGAGCAGAGACACTGATTGGTCGACCACCAGTCGCTGTAGCGCATATATAAGGTCAGTTTGAGCGGGAAAATTTGCCAGAAGTGCTACTGCATCGTAAAGTGTTTACCTGAACGAACTGATACGGGATACATTCATTGGCGCTATGGATTCGGATGCTATTTATTGGACTATTAAGTTTAATAACTTGACTAGTGGGTACCTAAACATTTAGTATTTTAATATTAATTTAATGCAAATGTATACATACCCAATAATATTAAACAGAAAAAATAAATATATTCAATAAAAAATCTTTGTTTTAACGAATGTACAATGTTGCGGCTCGGTAAATACATCAACACTAAAATGAAAATCAGTCTAGCATAGGGAAAATCGGGGAATTATACCGCGAAATGGTGAATTGCTCAGCGGCATTATTGTAAACTGGCATAAACCAAGGGCTACCTGTATTGTTATTTGATTGATTTTGGTCTAGCAATATATCTTAAAATGAAATAGTAATAAATTATAAACTTTGGACCAATGATACAAATTAATTTTTATTGTTTACTCATGCATCTATCAGCATGATTATTTTAAAAACCTTACAGTATAATTTGACAATAAACTGACTTTAATATTTATAAATGTCATTCATATTTTATAAAAATTTTATTAGTACATGAGAATTATTTTATGAATAGATTACAAAAGATTAATTATTGTCATCTTATCTATTCATTAATGAATCTTATCACGTGAATATCAATTGACAACTGTAAGCAGAATTTAGCTTAAAAGTAGTGGGATAAGGCAATATTTCCCATTTTTTGTTGTTTATATGATAAAATCATTCGTCTACATCTTAATGTTTATGATTTTATTTTCTATTTAATAAATGAAATGATGTATTTTCAGCATTATGGGATTGTCTTCTCGAATGCAGGATCAAGTTGCAGAAACTTTTGGTCGTCACTAATAAGCTTCCTCAACCAGATAAATTTAACTGTTTTCTTGAAGAAGGAGATGTCGACTATAATGATTTTACAAAACAAGGTGAATTATTTACACATAAATTAACTTCTAACTTTATCTTTAGATAAATTATTTAGTAATGTACAGTATACACATAGTATATACATATTAATTATATTGCTTCTTTATAATGATAAATAGCTAATAAAAATATATATGTTTTATTATAACACTCCTAAATTTAAATTTTGTATTTTTATGTTTATTTGATAAAAAAATCAATCTATTGCTGTGGTGGCTCTAGATTTCAATTCCAATACATACTGTCTAATTTATTGTATTTAATTTGGTCAGATTATCAATTGTCATCTCTGATTCATGCTAGTTGACCCTATTTTGTTCATAATGCATGAAATTGTGTAGTAGTAGCATTGATATATTGGTGTTTTACCATAACTAATCAGTCAGTCATTACATTCTTATGCATAACTCTAATAGTTATAATAATATTTTCATGTATTTAATATATAAAATAATGTAAGATAATTATAATTTACAGGTAGTTCTTCAGTTAAAAAGCTTTTAGACTTGTTAATTGAGGTTCAGACTAAATTGCTACAAAAAAATTCAGAAACTAGATACATACTTGATGATAAATCTCAGAAAGTAAAAAGGAATAGGTAAGAAAATATTAAATTATCTATAACATTAAAACTATTGTAGAGTTTTTTATAATTATTTCTGCTGTAAATAAATATGGTAAAGGCATATCAGCCTGCCACTCTAGTGGTTTGTCCCACATGTGTTGATCCTTTAACCTCATCATTTGTCTGCCTCATTGTGGGCATGGCCAAACTCATGATTCAAAGGTCCTCTCAGTGCCTACAGGTAAAGAGTTTAAAGCAAAAAATATATATATACTTGCTCTTTGCAAAATCTGTAAAGGTTTAAGTAGAAAATAAGTAGAAATTTATTATCATAAATTTCTACTTATTTCTATACGAATAAGTCTTATCATAAACGTTTGAGTCTTTCAGAATATTGCTCATCATCTAAATTAATTAAATTTCCATTTGTAAACTTAGCAAACTGCTTTGGCTTCTGTTTTTTGAGTACTTCTTGCATATCTGATCTCTACTTAGTGAATGATTCAGAGATTCAGTTATTGCATGCTAAAAATTTGTATGAAATTGTACAAAATTGCACAGAAAAACTGTAGTCTTTTCACATAACACAATAATTTTGTTAGCTGAACTTTAACAGAATTAAAAGTTGATTTTTGTGATGTAAAGGAATTTCAATTTTTTAAATATTTTTTAACAATTTATATAAAAAAAAAAGTTTAATCTTTATATAAAACTCATTACTTAATTAAGTTAAAAATTTTAGTGATGAAGAAATTAGTGGAAGCAGTGAAAAAGAAAGCGATGCTGACGAAACAGATGGAGATCAACGTGTTGGCAAGAGAAAACTGACTGTTGATGAATATCCTGAATTTTTGAATAAGAGACACAAAAACTTCACATCATTTAGGTTGTTTCAAAGGAATATCTTCAATATATTTAACTACTGAAATTTAGAAATTATATCCTGTATTTAATTTTTCTATTATGTAGGAATTCCACGATTCAAAAATGGAATGAAAAGACAAAAGTCGCATCTAGTAAATTAAATCAAAGTTCTTTTAATGCATTTGAACAGTCTGCTTTGAAACAAATTGAACAGGTATCAATTCTTATATTTGTTATTATTGTAAAAGTTTATTGAGATTAGTTACTAGTGCTATTTTCTAACTACTAAATGATAATTATACCCGAATAGATATGGTACATTTTCAGTTTATTTGATACAACGTCTTCAGGGGGTTCTATCAAATATCAACAATTTAAGGGTTCAACTTCTTGTCTTTTTAATTAATGCATATTTCCACATGGATATAAGAAATATATCATCTTCTGCACTTAAGCATTCCCCTGTTAACTTCTGTTGAATCCTATATTCTGAAGATGGTTTATCAAATAGACTGGAAAAGGTCAGTTTAAAAACAAATTTCTGTTCAGGGTGTAATTTATCTTCCAAAATTCATAATATAAATTTGTATAATAATATAATTTTCCAGTTTTTATATATAAAATTAAATTGACTGAAGTAAAATTGAAGCTAAGAGCAAAATTTGTCTTAATCAGATACAGTGGACATATGGAGTCTTCCTAAATGAATACAAACATTTTAAATTACTGTAATTATGTTAATTATTATCTGAGAAGAATACGATGTACTGTACACCAATCAACAGAGTAATCGTCTGAGTTTCATCTTCCATTTGTATTCAAACGTCTCATCGTCTACTGTCTGTAGGAAGTATTGTAAACAAATATGGCAACTTTTCAACAGAGAAAGAAGACATTTTGTGTTCTGTAGTTCACAAAATCAGAATCATTCATCATTGTGCAATGTGAATAATTTGCAAGAGCTGCAGAATTGTGACTGCTGTGGGAGGAGTGACAACAGATATGCTGTACCATGGGTAGAAAAAATTTGAGTACCAGTTGGATGTATGTCATGTGACATGAGGTGCATGTATTGAGATATTGTAATGGGCAAACATGAAACTTGGGCAGTTTTCCAATGTTTTAATATACATTACAACATTCTCAGATAATAATTAACATAATTACAATAATTAAAATGGTACATATTCTTTGGAAGACCCTATATTTTGAAGGTAAAAATATATTGTTTGTGAATTATGAAGATTAGAAATAATGAATTCTTTAATGTGAAATGTTACATCTATCATTTGAACATCTAAAATTAACAATAATTTGATAAATATAACAATTCATGCATATGTAATTAATTATTTGCATAAATTGTTATATAAAATATGTCATAGGTTGGATAAAGTGCATCCCTGTAGTTTATGTAGGTACTGAAGTCTGTGTTTGTAAATCTCGATGATCTCCATGTATTTGACATGTGTAGAATATATGATATTTTTGATGGTGGATGACTCTTCCTGTAAAGCCATATTATTATGAGAGGAAATCAAATTATTGACGGTAGTGGCTTCCACACACTATAAAAAGGGAGAACACAAACTATAAAAAAGGACATTGTATGTACTGTACATTATATAAAACAAAGAGTATATATAGGTATCCCTTGATTCACACAGTTAATTAATTCCTCAATGCTACCGCGTATATCAAAATTGCATTAATCAAATACAGTGGTATCTTGGTACTTGACCGAACAATCACAACTATCTAGAAATTTTCAGTTAAATATTTAAATTTTAATTCTGTTGTCAATAAAAAAAGTTTTCTGTGATAAAAATGAATAACTAATTTAAAAATAAAATTAAACTTTAGAGCTTCCTTGGAAATTAAGAAAAGATCAACCCAAGGGGGCAGGTGCCCCAATGTACAGGCAACCATGATTGATGGTGCTTGTAGGAAAACAATAATTTTTCACTCTGCTTTTAATTTTTGTGAGTTCTTGTGTGGTATCTAGGATGTTAGAGCAATGTGTGTAAACTCTCCTAATGAGTGTCATGAAGGTAGAGATTTTATATTTGAAATGATGCAAATGAGGTGCACAACAGATGGATTAATAATGATATTGATTGTTAACTTCCCTTCTCATAACTCTAATAAGATGTCTAGGAAATGCCTATCCATACAATTTTCTAGATCAAGTTGTAATGAGAGGCCAAAGAGTTGACATGGTTCAGAAAATGATGGACATTTATTATTGATTTTCAGACAGTAAGGTCAACATAACAATTTGCTATTACATCATATATCATAATGAGACAGCTTACACAGGTTCAAACAGCTAACTTACACAACAGGACAGTGATGGGGTTTCCCATCAGTACTCTCCTATTTTGCATATAAATGATGTTTCAAATTGGAAGAAGAAATAGCAGATCAAGTGTGCTAATTCCAAGATGGTTTGGTGATATTTGTATGACTCTACAACTATCTTGAATAGTAAATTTCTTAACTGGCAAAGACATAGTAATAGATTAATTGATGAGTAGAGATTTTGAAAGTCAAGTATGGTGATATATTCTTAAGGATTGTTCTAAAGAATATATAACCATACTCTTAAGGAGTGTAAAGATATATTGTTTTCTTGTACTGTACGTTCTTACACTTATTTCAAGTTTTTGGCTTTCAGTTTGTAATGTTCTAGGTATGGAGTAAGATATTTCTGAAGTAATTTTGCTAGTAGGCAAGCTATTTTTGTCAAGAACTGGGTTGTTTTCCAGTTTCGTGAGATTTTTCAAATGCAAAATTGGGGAGTGGGAACGCTTTTGAATATTTATTTGTTTAGAAAAGTGTGTGCCAATAGATTGCAATAGTTCTGTAGGTGCAGCTGAACAGTCTGTTTGAGCAATATAATCATGTATGAGTGTAGACTATATCTTGCTTCTACTGTATTAGCTAAATACGAGCATGGTGGTAGTGATGTCATAGTTGCCATGCATCTGACTGCTCTTCTTATGGATCCAAATCTTGTCTTTGTTACTAAGAAACAGTTTAAATTATAAAGTTGTGAAGAGTTTCAAGATATAAAATAATGTTTTTTGTCTGCTTAAAGGAGAATGGCTGAACACCATCAGAAAAATGAGTTATGAAATGGTGGTATGGCTTTGACTATGCAAGATCATGCAAGAAGCCTCTTACAGTTTCTCTTAGCACCAAAATTCCACCATTTTTCTAAGAAAACAATGAACATTGTTGTTATATTTGTTTGAAATAATTTATTTACATTGAATGAAAATGAATTTAAATACTATAAAATATAAATCTTATTCATTTTTATTTTATTTTAGATACTCAGTGATAAGCCACGGCTTATAAGTAGAACTCAACTGAAAAGATCTACTTACAGAATATTGGGGAAAGAAGAAAAAAAAGAAGAGGTGGAGACTTCTGAATCCGGAAAGGTAAATTTGGCTTTATTTTTATTTAATAAATTTTATCAATTATATTTTTTAGTGATGCCAGGAGACACCAATGAGTTACTCATGAGAATAGGAGTTACTAATTAGTCTACAGATTATTTTTTTCAAATAATATTGTAGATTTCAACCCATTACAGTAGAACCTCGAAAACTCGGCTCTCGATAACCCAGCACTCCGGATAACTCGGCCACACCCTGGCAGGGCAAAAAAGTCCTTAGTTAATTAATTTTCATTATAGACAGCTTTATAAAAGTATAAAAGCTCTCATAAAGTATTTTTCTGAGGTCTGTCTTATCGGGTAAATTACTGTACACAGTGTATTCATGAATTTTCATTTTCATGTAGTAAAGGCTCTATGCCTTCATAAAGGACGTACTTTTCCTTTGTTTAAGGGTATTTGGGCAGTTTATTCTCTGT